CCCTTTTGGCTTCGAAATTTTGGCCCTTAGCATTACTGCTGTATCGTGCGGTTGAATACAATGGTTGGCTCTACTGTATCTAACTCTAAATGTATTTTATCAAAATATGTTATTCACTTGTGTGTCTTTTGTACAATCTTGTATAAGCTTTCGATATACAAACAATATAAATGATTTACATTAACAATCAATGATACCGTTAAAGCATGTGAAGCAATCTCTAAATACAAGCACTTGATAAACGTTACATAACATACATGGATGGACATTCTCATAAATAAAACAAACTTAAAAATAAGACATCTCAGAAAAAAATGTATCATTTGATCTGTTATTTCAACACATGTATTTATTGGACTCTCAAAAAATCGTATTGTCACGTTGTGTTCAGTATGATGTATATTATCGGTGAACGATTAAGATCAACACCAGTGATGAACTTTGTTCATCAGAAGGTATTATCGAGGGCATGCGCTGGGAACCTGTGCGCTATTGGTGAAACGTGCGTGCGCCTCTCGAGCAGGTATGGTATTTACATAAGTGTACATTCTGTAACTGGGACAGGTTATCGTTGTTAGGGAAGCACTTTATTACTTTGAATAATAAAGGCAATAACTTTTGTTTATAGGCCTTAAATAAAGATTTTGGACACTGTCTAGTCAAAGAAAGTTACACATAGATATGTACTGGTTCTGTATTGGGCTCTGTTAGACGACGGGGTTTCTCGGTTCTCTTTTTATTTGTTTTGTAAATATCATCTGTTTTGGAAATATTGCCTTGGTGATTCGGTTGTTTGTTTTCTGGGCTTATCGCCATGTGGACGATCAGGGTAATATTGAAACGGGTCTCCTTGTAGTATGTAATGACTTACTCACAACAAACGAGAGACTAGTCGCAGCAATAAGGGTAAAGTCAAAGATATAATCACGTCATCAGAGACGTTGACCTGAGATTATGTAGGACAACACTCTAACAGACTGAGCTATCGCGGTCTCTTTAAAGATTAAAAATATGTATAAAAACATATTGCCATAAATGGTAGCAGGCATTTACAGACATCCGCCTGTTAATCTTTTTCATTCCGTAGTACGACATGACACAACGCATTAGATAATACGGAAATAGTTACAATTTTATCTAAATATCGTTCCATACTGTTTTGGTCTAAGAACATCTGCTTCACACAAGTATATACGTACTGTATTGTGAAATCGTTGTTTGTACTGCAACTGTAGGCAGTTTTCAGAAAATAAACATCTAATACCTGCATGTCGTGTAATATCAATCACATATACATATATCGGATGAGCCCGTGCGTTGAGGGGGATGCCTTAAATGTTACTATAAATAGATTCATATCGGAATCATTATCTCTTCTGTAAAAGGATGATAAAATCAGATTATTGGATCGGGGCTCACAAGCACAACTATTCTTGGATTTGGACAGAAACCAATCAGACAGTTATTTTTCCTCCCTGGATGAATATTTACATCAGTCGTGGCCCGACAGAAAACTGCTTAAGAATTGGACCAACTGGTAAATTGCAAGACAATATTTGCCTGCTATATTACAAATACATATGTCAGAAATGATTGAGCACTGTGTGCCCTGTCATAACATACTGACGCAAAACAATATGCGCATTTGTTCATAGTTTTCACGTTGGTTTAGTGATATACAAACTATCATAGAATGGAATAAAGAATACAACTTACGCAACAATAAAAGTGATAAACGAGAGAGCATATAAAAAATTAGGGTATTAATGGTTAAGTAACCATCATTGCGAAAATTAAGATTTAAGTGTAAATTGTGTTATAGCTATTAAGGCTTTAAAACTTGTATGATATCATGTTCCCTCGGTGAGTAACTCAAAATGATAGTATGGTACGATAATCCATTGATGTATACAAAACGCCGACAGAAATATATTGTGTTGAAAAGCTTAACATACTCTCTTGTGCATAAATTATCATTTTGCTGTGAAAGTTATTTAAAAAATTTCTTTAAAAAATCTTTATAAAAATTCTAAACAATTTGAAAACCTCTGCAGCAATAAGTGTCATAAAACAGAAATTATGACACTGAATAAAGACGGTGTCAAAACATGCATTCCACCAAAGTTGCCATTCTATACTGATGATTCTTATCAAGTTATCTCCATTGGGAAATAACCAACGTTATGCTCAAAAATACAATATTTCTATAAAAATAACAGTGAAGTCTCAAAAAAGTCCTACCCAGGAAGAAATGCGAAACTCATTTAAGTAATTAAAGCACCTTAAGATGCGCCTCCCATTCATGAAGTATTTGATTCTACCATATCTATGTGTTGAGAAGAAGATTTTTGAAATTAAAGTAAATTTAACCTCTTTTTGCTCCGCCCATCGGCCCCTGGGGGTCAGTTAGGATCACATTGGGCATACTATCAAGCTTTCATCTTTCACTCATAATTCTAACCAAGTTTGAAATATTCCAATGGAAATTAAGCAAATTATGCTCACAAATATAGTTTTCCTATATAAGCTACAGTAAACTTTACCCCCTCCCAATGGGAATATGTGAGACCCTGGGGTCATGAAATTCACAATTTTGGTAAAGCACCTTCAGCTGCTTCCATTCACGAAGAGTATTTGATTCTACCATATCTGGGTGATGAGAAGAAGATTTTTTTCAAAATATTAGTCAATTTGACCTCTTTTGGCCCCATCCCTCAGGTCCCTGGAGGTTGGGACCGTATAATTCCAGGGCCAGGGAATGTTTCTGCAAAATTTCATTGAAATTGAGTCAGCGGTTTTTGAGAAGAAGTTGAAAGTGTTAACTTGTTTACGGACGCACGATGCTCAACGCACGAGGCCGGATGAAGGGTATTAGGATAGGTCACCATGACACTTTGTGTCAGGTGACCTAAAAAATAAAATGCTCAGTGTTTTCTTTTCAATGACTAAATAATTTCAAATGTTGACAAATAACATTTAATAGGAAAACCAACGTTAGTTCGCTGAATCTTGTTAAATTATGTTATGAACTATCATTATCAAGCGGTAAAACGTCTATCGTGGATATGGTAGACGGATTGTTGATCGGTGTCGGAGTTTCGAGACGAAATGACGGTGACTGCATTGGGGATATTGAACGAGGGTCTCTAGTCGTTAATGGTGCCATCGAGTTACCTATGGAAAACGACGTTGACGAGTATCCAACTTTGTCGCTGTCCAGTGCATTGATATCTCCATTCCAACTGAAAGGGAATAATTTCACTATTTACTTAAAATGTATCTTCAGCAACAAGATAGTCGCAGATGCGGCAGACGACTGTTTCACAAACTGAAAAACCGTAATGGAAAGCAGTTGTCATAAAGGATTTGAAATTAAGGGTAAAATTCATCTTTTGATAAATAAAAAAACAAGAATTAATCAGTTTAGCACAATAAACTAATTGAACTTATCATAAAGATACTTTGTCAAAGACGAGGAGGTTGTTTTAGTACTACTTAGATAGTACATACTATGCGTAATATTACATTTACATGAAAGTGGACCATTTGGTTTTTGTGGTAGTATCTGCACGAGTCGGGTATGTGTTTTCAAGGTCCGCACTAAAAAACAAGATTCGGGTCTATGCTCACTTTATGCTTTATAACGGCTATTAACAATTTATATAGTTCAAATTAACACTAGACATATCCAAAGAAATAACATTTGATGTGGTTTACTCACAAAAAAATTAATATATTGATAAATTGATAACACCTACGACGAGAGACGAATGTGTACTTTATTATGTCTTGTAACGTACTGTTGTTGTAATTCATATTAATTACATTTGAGGTGCTTATTTTTCGTAATTTTGTTCCATTCACGAAAAAGCAACCTTTACAGTAGTTAATGACATCAATACCTTCAATAAATGTAATCCGTGAGGACAAAGTAGCATAGCATATGCACATACAAGATATTAGCCTGTATTTACATTAATGTATAAATACTTTATCTTATTTTCTTGGTTCTTTGCTACATATATTCTAGTATTGATATTTTGCCACAATAAATGTATACGAAAAGTTGTATTATGTGGTAAACACAGTTTGCATAAGAAATCTTCTTTATTAATTTTCTCTAAGTGAACGTATTTATTATACATATTCCATGACTTTCCTGAGAATAATTCGTTGAATATACAATATCATGAAGGATAACTGTTCTGATGTTTAAACACATGGCATGCAGCTATATTAGCATGTAGAGGTACAGCATCGCGTGTCCTTGATTAAACCCTGCTTTCAAATTACATGCAGATGTATTTTATTCAAATACGCAAATACACTGTTTTACATCTTGGTTAAGTGGCGGAGTTTGTCAACCCTCAATCATAATTCTCATCAGTGACAATGATGTTTTTGAATATTTGTAACAAATTGTGATTTGATTTTCCGAATTATATATGAGAATAATGCCATGCTGTATTTTACATGTGTGTCATCTTTATGATACGTACCTGTTATTCATTGTTATATTTTCATACACGACTAATAGAATATTCTATACATGTGATAAATGAATCAGTAGTTAAATATTGAAAAAAAAACACCTGTCAGTGGTAAGTTCTCTGTCAAGGCGCCTTGAAGTGTCAGGAGGCCGTGAAAATGATACTACATCTGATATCTTCTTTTTCGGGTTGCTGAAAAAAATATATTAAAAATGTCAATAACAATATCTGCTTCTTCTCCTTAAATATTCATTGTACATAGACGTGTGATTTTGAGATGCATCCTTGGTTTGATATAATATCAAACTGCGGTAGGCAATGTAAGATACATTAAGTAAGCTAATCATTATTGAACTCGCGAAATAATTTGAATAACGTTGTTTCGAATTTTTAACATTGTAATTTGCTGGTAAAATGACAATTCACAGCTGGATACAATTGATATATAACGTATATATTACCATCAAGAAACTTTAAAATAACAATAACATCTTGAATAAATGATCCTTACTAAAGCCTCTTTATAGTAAGTATTGCGATAAAAGTTATCACGAGTCCAGTTCCAGCAACAATTCCAGCAATCATCCCAACTGTAACAAAACAGTATGATATCACTTTCTTGGTTCAACGTTGGTTAAACAAATTATTCAGTTCTAAAAAACTCGAAGTTTTGAAGCATTTTGGTTTTAGATTTTTCAAAAAAATAGAATTAGATAAACAGACAACAAAACTATGCTATAGCAACTTTATTTAATATGATATTGACTATTATACATTTAAATATTATTATCAATAGTGTTGTTCCCTACATATATAGAAACATGTTCTCTGAGTGTTAAAACTTAATCTTATTCGAAAAATTCACAGTACAAATATAAAGACACTGGCAGGGAAGTAACTCTTACAAGAAATAAGTCTCTTGCACAAGGGAGAATATTCAGAATAACACTATTTGAAGTGAAAATCTCAATCAACATGATGAATAGATAAATTGTATCCCTAATTGCATATTTACATTTTAAGAAACAGCACAATATATATTCAAAATGTCATTTTTACATGGTAAAGCAATATTATTTACAGCAACTGACAGTTGCAACTAAAAGGTTTTTTTCAAGTTGTACTTTCAAATAATGTAAGATAATTTCATTATTAGTAAATAGGTGACTTCACTATTTCGTTAGCATTTTCGTTCCTATTTGATTAGCTTTTCAACAGTTCTGTACTCCATTCAGTACCAAACGAGCAGGTTTTACCTGACCCAATGGTTGCTTCTTCCATTTCTTTGGCGGAATCCTCAACGGGCAAAAGAACTAAAAACAATCCACAACATAGATTTGCATTAATGTGATGAAAATATATCTGTATATACATATATATTGTTGAAAATGCTGAATATCACTTAGCAACATTTGACTTTGACAATTAAAAAAATTCCTTGACTCTTTGTATGTTGACAAATCAAAGTGTACAGGGTTCTGATTTTTGGTAAGTGATATAAAAATATTGAAGTAAAAGTAAGGGAGCAGAATTTTCCAATGATTGAGGTTATGTAGATCACACACCGGAACATTCTGTGATGCTGATAGAACCAGTACCCTCCGTAGATGTTCCTGATGGACAGGCCTTACAGAAAGTTTGTTGTGTAGTGTCCTGGTATGATCCAATATCACAGAGTTCACACTCATCTTCAGTGTAATACCGGCCAGGTCCACAAGGAACTACAAACAGTCATTTGATATATTTAAAAGAATCGTTGAACTTTGGTTTTTTTTTTTTTTTTTTTAGATATAAAATACATACAAATACTGGCAAAGTTATAAACATGATATTTCATATTTAACCTATACACTATTTTTGTTAGTGTATTTAAACCTGAGTATGTATGAACTGCTGGACCTACCACAGAAGGAAAAGACTTCCACCATTCCTACAGGGCAGTTTAAAATGGAATCGGATACAGACTGACTGATGTTCACTATGTATTGAACGCCATCTATTATGATGTTTGTTTCACCTAGCTCCTCCAATCTTTCCAAATCAATCACCGCCTGTGTTAGGATCTCGTAACATTCAGCCGCGCCTTCTGATAAAAATGTAAACTGTCATTACATAAATACGTTTTTTTTATTTTTTCAGAAATCAAAACTGATAAAAAAAGCTATTGTATTTAAAACGTTCTATAAGTTGTATATTCCTGTCTTAGTCAAATTACACTTTGTTTTTATTTCTTCACTGATATGTCTAGTAATGATATGTCTAGTAATGTCTAATAATGATATGTCTAGTAATGTCTAGTAATGATATGATATGTCTAGTAATGTCTAGTAATTATATGTCTAGTAATGATATGTCAAGTAATGTCTAGTAATGTCTAATAATGATATGTCTAGTAATGATATGTCTATTAATGTCTAGTAATGTCTAATAATGATATGTCTAGTAATGATATGGATAGTAATGTCTAGTAATGATATGTCTAGTAATGATATGTCTAGTAATGTCTAGTAATGATATGTCTAGTAATGTCTAGTAATGATATGTCTAGTAATGTCTAGTAATGATATGGATAGTAATGTCTAGTAATGATATGTCTAGTAATGTCTAGTAATGTCTAGTAATGATATGTCTAGTAATGATATGTCTAGTAATGTCTAGTAATGATATGGATAGTAATGATATATCTAGTAATGTCTAGTAATGATATGGATAGTAATGATATATCTAGTAATGTCTAGTAATGATATGGATAGTAATGATATGTCTAGTAATGGTATGTCTAGTAATGATATGTCTAGTAATGTCTAGTAATGTCTAGTAATGTCTAATAATGATATGTCTAGTAATGTCTAGTAATGATATGTCTAGTAATGATATGTCTAGTAATGTCTAGTAATGATATGTCTAGTAATGATATGTCTAGTAATGTCTAGTAATGTCTAGTAATGATATGTCTAGTAATGATATGTCTAGTAATGTCTAGTAATGATATGTCTAGTAATGTCTAGTAATGGTATGTCTAGTAATGTCTAGTAATGTCTAATAATGATATGCCTAGTTATGTCTAGTAATGATATGTCTAGTAATGTCTAGTAATGATATGTCTAGTAATGTCTAGTAATGATATGTCTAGTAATGTCTAGTAATGATATGTCTAGTAATGATATGTCTAGTAATGTCTAGTAATGATATGTCTAGTAATGATATGTCTAGTAATGTCTAGTAATGATATGTCTAGTAATGATATGTCTAGTAATGTCTAGTAATGATATGTCTAGTAATGTCTAATAATGATATGTCTAGTAATGTCTAGTAATTATATGTCTAGTAATGATATGTCAAGTAATGATATGTCTAGTAATGATATGTCTAGTAATGTCTAGTAATGATATGGATAGTAATGATATGTCTAGTAATGATATGTCTAGTAATGTCTAGTAATGATATGTCTAGTAATGATATGTCTAGTAATGTCTAGTAATGATATGTCTAGTAATGATATGTCTAGTAATGATATGTCTAGTAATGTCTAGTAATGATATGTCTAGTAATGATATGTCTAGTAATGTCTAGTAATGATATGTCTAGTAATGATATGTCTAGTAATGTCTAGAAATGATATGTCTAGTAATGATATGTCTAGTAATGTCTAGTAATGATATGTCTAGTAATGATATGTCTAGTAATGATATGTTTAGTAATGTCTAGTAATGTCTAGTAATGATATGTCTAGTAATGTCTAGTAATGATATGTCAAGTAATGATATGTCTAGTAATGATATGTCTAGTAATGTCTAGTAATGATATGTCTAGTAATGTCTAGTAATGATATGTCTAGTAATATCTAGTAATGATATGTCTAGTAATGTCTAGTAATGATATGTCTAGTAATGTCTAGTAATGATATGTCTAGTAATGATACTTACTTGATTTTGAATCGCAGTGAAGCATGACGGAGTACCCCGCTGAGTCGGAAGAAGTATCTCGTTTTCGCCTATCCTCACAAGTGTTGATAAACTTCTGATCCTCCTTGCAATCATTATTCTGTACGCCAGTCAGAGAATTTACAACCACTCCGAGTTTACCCAGTACAGTTATTCGAGAGTCTTCGTTCGACATCAGAGTATCACAGTCTAAGCCATCGTAGTAAGAAGTTCGAATTGCCCTCATGTCGTCTGGGTCAGTCGTTGCTGATAAATGTAATGAGCAGAAATATTCACGACTTTGATATATAGTCTTACAAATAACGTCTGTAAGTTATAAAAGGCAACATGGATGAATAAATAAAAAAAAATAATTCTGATTCAAAATTTCTGTGCTGCTGATTACCCTGAAATCGAGAAAGATAGGGTTATGCTCACCTATACAGGACGGAAGCCGTGTGAAGACATTGGTATCAATTTTAAAATCCCACTGGTCGAAAGTAGAGTTGCCGCACGTGTAATTGTCAGGGATAGGGATATCTGTCGCAAAGCCTTCGTCACATTCCAGTTCGCAAACGGTATCCACGCCGTCATTGGCACAGTTCAGGGAACCATTGGCTGGCGGAACTAGTTCTCCACACTCTATATATAGAGATAAAGCAGGATTCAAATCATTGAGCATGCGTCAACAAAAATATACGAGCATGGCAAATACACTTGTTGTTAACTCATGGTAAAATGTCTGATTAATAAGCTGGTAATGAGAGTAAAATGACGGCATTTCGTATTTCTTTTGTGATTAATTATTTGCGATGATAATGAGTTGATATTTACCAGGACAGGTCTCCTGTACGCAAATCTCTGTTTCAGTTCTGTCACCAGCGCACTCTGCGCCACCATTGTCCGGGGCAGGATTGTCACAGGCTCGAATACGAGTCTGCGTGCCATTACCACATGTTACACTACACTCTGTCCAATTTCCCCACGCATTCCATCCACCGTCAACTACATTGTTATCCAAATTAAACAACTTGTTACTTTACTAAATCATCTATAATATTCATGTCGTTAAAAAGTGGTTTTAGGGTTTAATTAGTTTAATAGCTTATATATTTGAAGTCGTTACTTTTAAAATCATATTTCATTGAGAAAGTCTATCTATAAAATACATGCCGCAGCCAACGTCTTATATGAACAAATGATACATTATTGAGGTCGGTAACAAGGAAAGATCTACAAGCTCTATGTTTAATAATTTGACACCTATCGTAGTATTACAATTTGTTTTAAGAAAATCAATCTAACATCATTGACTATTGCCTCAACAGCAGCAACAGGAATGAACAATAAAAGGACATCTGGGACTAACGTACCGAAAGCAATTTCACAGAGAACTCCTGTGAAGTTTGGCAAACATTGGCATGTGTAGTTATTGACACTGTCCTGACAAGTGGCGTTATTTTGGCAGGAATTCGCGTCGCAATCGTCAATGTCAACATCACAATCACTTCCAGTATAACCAACATCGCACTGACATTGGTACCTGTGGTATTCGTCAGTACAGTTCCCATGGATACACGGATTTGAATCACATTCCTTTATGTCTGGTTTTAATCAAGATAATATTTCATTTAAAGGTAATTTTTATGAATAATTTGGTTGATGAAAAATATGTGGGAGTTATACGGTAGTCATAGTGAATTCTATTTCTTTGTGTGAATTGATGCTCGATTGTTTGAAGCTCGTCAGTTTGTGTGTTGGTTCCAATATTGTGTTAATTTTTTGATCATTTGAGAAGGTGACATGACCAAACAGGTGTCGTCAATACAACAGAGGTCTTATTCTCCTTGTATTTTCTCAGGAGTCTCACTGTTTCCTTTTGTTAATATTTTTTACTAGTATAATTGGATTTGAATTCAGATCAAGATTCACATTTTGTTATTTTCTTGACTTTGTCAACGTTGATTCAGCTTAATGTTTATTGAGAAAACTTTGTTTCCTTTCTTTGATACATAGCCCTTTACGTGAAATTACCGTATATACTGTGCTATATTATAATATGTTTCGTAGAGAAACATTCGCATTTATTGTTTTGTAACAATCAATGCAAACGAAAAGTCAATTGTGTAAGATTCTAGAATTTACCTCAGACATATTTATCTTATAGACCAGATAATCGTCAGATTTGGTATTCAGAATTATAGATAACATGTTTCTAACAGCTTCTAATCAACGGAATTCATCAGACAATATTGAAAATGATAAACAGACATACCATCACAAACACTAGGAATTTGTATAAAGGCGTCATTCATCGTGGCGTTTAGAATACTCCTCCAGCTTACTACATCACCGGTTGCATCGTTAAAACATCTGTCTGTTACCAACGGATTCGATTCGGTGAACACGTTCAGCTGGGATATGGTTCCTTCGAATGAAGTTCCTATGAAAACGGAATTATCAAAAGTAGTACCAGTGGTCCTCATTTCTTTTAATGATTTTCAAGAACACGTGAACAAATCATCATTTCTCTGAACCGGTTATAATCGTTTAAAATCAAAACATTTTTTGTATCGCCCATGTATATTTGTATTACTAAACATATTGTAACGTAACCGATGTATTATGTCCTATTACCCTCACAGTACAATATAGATGATTAGGAAGATACAATATCATAAGTATGTGCTTACCCCCAAGTTTGACAACACCGCCAAAAACGCTCTGCACAGTAATTTCAGTGATGTTCATTACAAGGGACATGTCCATATAACACTCTAGACAGGCGTGTCTTCTTTTTAACATAAACACATGCCACTCTCCGTCATCAGGAACAGTGAGACCGCTGTTGATTGTCTGTCTATAGTAAAAATAGGGATGAAAAAACAATAAGAGGAAGACACAAAAACAATCTAGCAGACGATGGTTGGTATTTGGTACATGTTTGTGTCGCATTGATTGCAGAACTCTTAAGTCTAAAGTTAAATATTTCACGAGAAACATAGAATTAACATACAGTAAATGGTTAAGACAAAACCGACAACAGATTAATAGTTTAAACTGGAAATCACAGGCTGATTTTAAAGAAAAGAAAAATACTAAAAGACGATTGTATAAATTCACGAATAATAAGACCGTGTGATCCGGAAGAGTTAATGTGTTCTACTTAAATGACGATACCACCTATGTAAAATTTGATGAACTAAAAACTATCTCTACGTTCACAAATGAGAACAAGGTGAATAATAACGGAACCACACGGCATGTTATCGGGCATAAAAGACATCCAGCTTTATATCTTACACGGTCTAGACTATTTTTAAGATCATTATGACGACCAAAACATTTTTTATCGACGAACACCTCTCGAAACACTGTTGTGAGTTTGTCAGTTGCCAATATCTATTAAGCATGGAAACCCCCATATTTGAAAAAAAATTCCTTGCATATCTCAATACGACACGTCAACACCACAGGAAAGGGAAGTGTAGCTAAACCGTAAACTGACCTGACAAGAGTAGTGTTTAACAACTCTTCTCAATTATTGTGTTGTATTATGTAAAAATGTTCATATTACAACCGCTATGTCGTAGGATACATCATTAACATTCATAATAGTCATGAGAAAATAAAGGAAGTGCTGATATATCTATTATGCTCTGAAGGTTGATATTTTCGAGTCTTTTTTCCGTTATATTCAGTATGAAATCGAACGGCGAAAAGTTAATGACGAGAAAGATATGTCTTTTCATGACTTCCCTGAAAATCGCACTAAGCATTCGGTAAAACCGAAAACAACCATGGTATAAAAAAAAACATTTTTGTTAAATTTTATCATTTTTTAAGTTACAGGTTTTGATCCACAATCAACTAACAATGGTCTTACATATAAATATACTTTTTTGTTTCAAGAATTTAGCTTACCCATCTACACCGATTACTATTGTCGATAGCATTTGCACGGTTAAGGAGTTCGTCCCTGTCTCATCATTTAATGCAAAGACTTCTCCTATGCATACAGTGCTGCACTGTTGCCACCACACAACAGTGTATTCCGTCAAGGAGAGTGTTTCTATTTGACCGAGAATTACGCCGGCGGTCTGGTTGTCAGGGAAGTACACATCAAACTCTGCAAATATATATTGTCGATTATGTGTTGACTGATGAATACTGAAATCGTAATTTATTTATTAGATGCCATCAAATTCCACCTTACAAAATTAGATTTGTAACATAAATGGTGTGAATAGGTTTAGTTGTAACGACTAGTTGTAATACGATTACACACTATCTATATATAGTAAAGGTATGAAGAAGGGTAGGTAATTAAGATACATGATGACATATATCAAGTTTAAAAATAAATTTATATTTCAATCTATGCAAATCAATAATTACTGCACTTTCAGATTGCCAAAGAAAGACTTTGTCTATTAATTATTTGCAAAAACGTGGTTACCGACGCAATCCGTTTCTGATGAAGAATTATCGTTCTTGGTGATTTTGTTCCCCGGGCAGGCACTGCAGACTGTGGCTCCGTATTCGCTTTGGTAGTATCCTATGTCACAAGGTGTACACGGAGGCAGAGAGGACGGAGACGAAGAACCAGGAGGACAAGCCGCTGAAATATGTTAACGATGTCCGCATAGGAGAACCGTCAAATACAAAGGCAATGCTATCAGTTCAAATCGAGATAATCGGAAAACCCTACGAAAAAAGTTTTTATTAGAAGTTGTTATAATTAATTTAGATCTTTTTATACTGTTATACTTTCAGTACGAAACCAACCTCATTTTTGTGATTGTTGTAAACTAAATAAAGATTTTTTTTTTATTATATTGTGCAGTTCAAACATAACACGTAACAAGATAATGGCTTCAAAAGCAAAAGTAACTAGCTTTAGTGGGGTCAAAATTGACTGACTTATACATGTTATACGTGAGTAAATATAATTCTTGTTTACCCTGACAACTTGTAGGACTTGAAGAGCCTGTTGTAGAAGTAGATGTACCATATGGACATTGTACACATGTACTTTTCCTGGACTCTGACTGATATTGGCCGATTGGACATAATACACATTCTTCACTGGCGGCGTCATAGTAACTTCCACTCTGACATTCAACTAAACATACATCATTTATATTGACAGAACATATCCATATCAAGAACTACGGAATGAAAAAAATATAAATAAGACAACAATAATAAAATGTTTGTAAATTCATCTTAGCATTTTGCCATGCGTTTTTATTCATTTATTTTATGAGTTATTTATTTTTTGAAATTGTAATATGTTACTTATTATTCTGATTTCTGATTATATTCTGATAATTGTTCATTTTGGTCAATTGTGATCATTTTCGATGACTTACCACAAGTAAAAGTTTTCATAGAAGCGACTGTGTTTTCTTCACATTGGAGTCCCAAATTACTTTTCAAGATTTCAGCAGCTTCCGTAGTGGTGTTATCGTTCATCTGTATTGTCAGTGTTCCCAATGCCATATCAACTCTCAAGCTCTCGATAAGTGACTCGCCTTCCATAAATTGACTGTAGTATTCTTCTCCGTCCATAACTGCTGAGGAATTCAGCGCAATGTCAAAGGTGATGGTGAAGCCTGTCGATCGCTTTCCATTTGTGTTGCCACATATCACCTGTGCACCAGTAGACATTTACACACAACGTATGGTGTACAAAACTTATATAAACATAATATATCTATAAATTAATGCTTCTGTCAACTTTCATACCTTGATCAAGTAATATATATATCAGTATATAACTTGATTCAGCAACACTTCAATCAATTTTCGCATTCTTGAAATGTTCCAGGTAAACTTCCTTTTGACTTGTATAAACCTTGATTTACCCACAGTTCTATCGAATTAACTGTAAATAGCTTGATTTAGTTAACATGCAGTTGGCATACCTTTACGTTTTTCCAACTACATTTCGGAGATATGTCACAACCATGACTGAAAGAAGTAGACTGAAGTTTCTGAATGAAATTTTGCTTGATTTCCATCTGTGTTGACTCGTCAGTGCAACTTCCCGTGAAGAAAACTACTTCAACAGTTCTTCTTGTTCCCCTAGATGAACTTGAACCTGTGTAAAAATCATTTCATCAATATTAATAGGTGTGAAAATTACGTGGCTGATATCATTTAACATTCATATGTACCTAAATGTATTTATTAATTTTTACTTAGTGTTGATGATAAAGAAACTCACGCATGCAGTTGGGGAGAGGCAGATCCCATGACAAGCTACCATCATCATTACAGATAAGTAGATCAACGGCAGTGCTTCTAACTGAAATATCGTATCCCATCTGGCACTGCGGCTGACAGAATCGCCCCCCTAACCAGTAGTCACAAGCCAGTGCTCCATTATCAGGCGCTTCAGGAAGCTGACAATTCTCTGACACTTAACAAAAAACATACGATATGTCGTTAGAAGATTTATGAACGATATTTCTCTATGACAAGATAGTTTTAAACAAATAATGAAATTATCAATTGTTTTTAATGTTTCATTGAGACAATGGAATAACACATGATAAGCAATCGAACGTAGCATTTTCAAGTTAAAATATTCTAATGTCTGCTGCCACTTTCACATTTGTCACGCTTAAGGATGGAATAACTGATCCATCATCGTTATTGTGGAAGTGAAACTAATTAAATTAAACTCACATTCACAAAATGGTTGTTGTGTTCCCCAGTCCCATAGGCCATACGGAGGAGTTCCCTCTTGCTCACAGCTGGTTATAGATGAGGAAGCATTCAGTGTGGCGCCATCTGAACACTCAAATCGACACGTAGATCCTAGACGGTTACCCGTACAGGTAACAGATGTATATGGCGTTGGATACACGTGGAAACACCTGATTTCTGTGTCATATAATGAAAACTACGTTTTGTATTTCCGCCAATGCTACATCGTATATTACTTCAAAGTAATCGAGAATAAATCTGACTATGCTATGTATTAAGATTAATTTTGTACACTGTTTGAACCATTCATCTAAAAAGGATTTATTTAGTATCGGAAAGGTTGTAATGGGAAATAACTTGCTAGTTTTGCATTTAAATGTGCATGATTTGAAAATATTTATATACCTCTGACGGTGATTTTGAAGTTGAGAGGCCTTGCGGTATTGCCAGCACTATCGGTTGCTGTATATGTTACAGTATATGTGCCAACCTCCAGAGCATCACCTTGAGAAGGGCCTGCAATCTGTACTACAGCTAAAATGTCTCCAGAGTTATCCTCCACTTCCGGGGCCTCCCAGTATACCGCTACAGTGACGTCATGGCGAGCAATATAGAAGGTCTTCGACGACGGATATCGTTTAAAACTCGGTCGCTCAATGTCTGAATATGTATACATCATACTAGATTAGATTACCTGCCTTAGTATAAATTTTCTCCGCTAAACTGCACTTGTGTTTTCGAAGCGAGGTCTAGTGGAGAGCAGAAACAGAACTAACATCATCTACTATAAAAAGGAAACGTTATGAAATACTAAGACATTTTAGAGCTAGGTTTGAAGCACGCCTGTAGATCAACAATGGAGAACAATATATTCGATACTGGTCACAATTCTTCAATCTTTTTGAACATCAAATTAACGCAAAACTGGTCAAACACAGATAGTGATATTCTTTGCATGCCTGAAAATATGTTCCTAAGGCAATAGGAAAAAAATGTAGGTAGGAATTTCTAATTGCACACATGTATACTACAGATGTACACACATACAATCTACATAATATAACGCTGACGTTAAACCATTGTTACCATGATTGTATTAAAGACAATACTTGCCTACACAGTTAGGAACAGGAGCACTCCATAACTGATCAACTCCACACACCGACACTCGCCTCATGCCCACAGGTACGTCATACCCACTGGTACAAGTGAACGTAGCGATAGATCGAAACAAATTACCATTGGTGTATGTGATGCTTAGCAGTGGTGAAGGTAACAGTGGACCACAGGAATGCTCTACACAATTATATAAATCAGTTTAATATGCCAATTGAAACTGTCATTTTCTTAATAATTTACACATTCCACAACAATTTGTTTCCTTTATAGTTGCGAAACACCTAATATACGACATTTTGACAATACAATAATTTTTTAACTAGTTCAGACAAAATTCCCTTTAGAAATTAGAATACATAAATTGATTAGCAAATACGGAGATTTTACTTGAATGCTTAAGAGGCCTGACAAATTTTTATTGAACAGATATGTGACTCTAACAAATCTTGTTGAAATGACTTTGGAAGAACGGGATGTGTTCCCTACTTTGGCAGCCAGGTTGTTGAATTGTCCATGACGACCAACGTCCCGTAGACAAGCATTCGGTATAGTTCGGTCCAATGAGTTCATGCCCTTCGTAACATCCGAATTCACAGTAAGAACCAAGCACCATGTCATCACTTCTATGGCAGATGACATAACCGTCGGTCATCCGTTTTAGAACTGGACACCGTATCACTGGCAACAAATTGATAAAAACCATGAATTCAAGTCATTTTTTCGAAAATCCAAAACATAAACCAACATTTGAAAATCTGGCAAACACGATATGTACCTTTCGATCAGTAGGCACTAAACTCGCTCTTTAACCCTGATAATCGGATTGGTTTTCCGGAACAGATGAGATGATATAAGAACTATTTGTTCGCAACAAGTGTTTCCCCCGAGTCTTTCCAACACCCGTGCTCTCTTGGTTTAGCTAACATTAGTCAGTATCTCAATAATTATTGTTGTGATTTGAGTTAGTTACTTTCCTCTGATATAAAACAGAATGATTGACACGCAACGTAGCAACATACCAGTGACGTATATATTAAAGTTGCATTTTGCCATGTTTCCACTCCTGTCTCTTGCGTAGAAACCAATTGTCGCGCCAGGTTCAGAAATGGGGTATCCAGAGTTACGACTGGAGGATTTTTGAACACTGTAAATATAATTGAGAAGCGATAGGGACAAAATAGTCAGAATCCAATTTTTATTTAAGAAGTTTTTCATGTAAAAATAAAATTTCGCGTACTTTCTAAACATCGTACAGGACATCTTGACGAGTGAAGATACAAGAACTTGTCCATCTTCGATCGACTAATAAGTTGTAAAAATAATTAATTCTAACTGAAAAATGAGAGACTAAATGCTTATTTCTGAAGCAAAATGGAAGAATTTTTCACTGATGTAACAGACCAGACTATAGATATTTTCATAGATTTTATTTTCAATTTATCTTCAGCAATTCCATCTCCAAAACATAGCAACCTTAAGAGTACATATCGAATACCAGGATAAAATCAATTTAAAAAGTTGACTAAAATTTTGAGGCAAGAGCGTAAGGTGACTTAACCTTACAATAACATTCTTGCGGATAAGCCAGTGAAATGTTACTATACTATTTTGAGTTTCAGTCAGACAACTTGTAAAGTCACATTAAGTTAAACTTTAGACACAACTGAATTACATATGTATATTCCTGATAAATATACATAACTGTGTCGTGTCGGACGTCGACGTAAGGTGTAAATGTACACAATTTACTAAACCAGTGTTAAAGTGAAGGATACTGAATTCGATAAGGCGGAGTCTAAATATTGGACTTACCTCACGGTACCATCCGGAAAGTCCCATGCGGTAGGCGTGATCCAGTTCACCTTGGCATGAGTCTGGAAAGGGTCGCCATATACATGTTGGTCAGGTGGGCATTCAAGCTGAGGGGGAGTGATGTCTTCTGTATTTGTATTAAGAGACAGTGTAGTTATGAGTAACATCAACACAAACAACTTACACATTAAGAAAACGTACTTAGTTTTGGCACAATGAAATTCAGTGCATTATCATATTCTGGCAAATAAGCGCAAAGATGATTTTTTGCAATGTTACATTTCAGATAGTTATTTAAAAGCAAAAGGCCACCGGAGTTAGATTATGTCCTACAGGAATATTCACAATCCATTTTTCACATATCATTCTTAACTTTGTTCCTGCATAACAGGCTTTATTAGTTATTTTCGAGGCTAATGGTATTTTTTTTTCAAAAAAAAAGCTCTTTCATTAACAAGCAGTAAAATGATTCGAGGATAGGGAAAAAAATGTAAAAAGCCAAACGATCATTAGTTTTAACAAGCTTGAAGCTGCATATAAACTAAATATGATTTTAATACCTAAACTCGCTTATTTGATTATCTATTGTAATTTATGGAGATATATTTGAGAATGTTTTTTCATACTCATTGCTGTTGTTAATATTATACAATTTTCCTCCAAATAACTATTTTTCCATAGTCAAGATACAATCTAAGAAATTTGTTATATGTTGACGTCACTTTTCAATATCTTATGTATATCATAAAGCACATGTACGTACTGGGCTGTCTGCTTCTCTTGCTACACCGGGTAAACGTACATTTGACACCTCGGAATACTCGTCTGAAGAAGCGGCCCCACCTCCTTGATCTGGGACGAATTATAGGTAATGGATCTTCTCGACCTGTTTGTATAGAGATTCCTATTAGGATTGAAAGGGGAATATATACGCATCTCATAAAAACACACGATGTTTGCGTTGCTTTAAGGAGGAATAGTCGCGTTGAAAAGTGAAAACTTTCTTGATAAAACGTGATAATTGAAGTATTTAAACGAAATGAGGATCGCGTTAAAACGAAATAATTTTATTAAAACAAAACGAAACGAAACACAATATTAATAATTTGATATAAACTTAAGATGATAAATAACTAACGCGTTTAAACGAGATCACTGTTGCGTTTTAACAAGAAAAATAATTTTGTTTTGTGTTTCAAATGGCCTTAAAATGACTAAATGGTTATATTTCATTACTTTCCCCATGCGTTTGTTTTCAGGCAAGCGTTGTAATTCTCAAAATTATACTCTTTATAAAATTATAAATTGATACAGACTATCAACTTTAAACTAACGCTAGCTTTGATCGGAGATAGCCGCGTTCATCACGTGACCTTATAGAGCCTCGTTTTAACCCGCCGCTTTGATATGATTTCTTATTATATATAATTATGTATGTGCACATAGACCACGACTGCACTACCCTACAACAATGAAAATAGTGTTCGTGTTTTTGTTCTTCATCATCATTTAGAAATCATTTATGTGGGAATACATGTACCAGTAAGATAACAGAAGACACACAACTGAATAGCACATTTAAATAATTTAGAGTAGATACAGTAGAGCCAAACAATGACTTAAATTGAATCATATATTTGTTTCGTCCTTCTAAGACTTGTCAGTGATGTTAAGATCCTAAATGTTGAAGCCTTGTGGCGACTGAGGAAAATCAAGTGACCGAAAGAAAAGTCAAAATCTAGACTGGGAGGTGCAGTCCCATAATGAAGTAAATTTCTTAATTTTCATATATCAAATCATTTTAGAACAGCGTCAAATGCACATGTATACTCTGAACCGTGCCTCTGTTCGGTTGAGTTGAAACGTGGTAGGTTACTGCAAACCTTTCTTCGCCATTTTTAGACTTTATCGTTTATTTTCTGCTTCTTGTAACTGTTTACTTACATATTTCAAGTTCACCTGACCATTCTCCATCTTTACAATATACCCATGTTTGCCGAGAATTCTGTGTACAAGTAAATATACAAATGTGTCCGGGACTGACAACATCCTCTATAGGGGTAACACGGTTGTTTTCCTCGTCCTGGCATTTTATGTTTGTCGACGGCAAGTCGGTGGTATCACAACCTCCCTTTACTGTACCCTACAATGGATATACGGGAAATTAGATCACAAATATATACAGTATTTGTAAATGATGCTGAAATTTTCAACTACCGAAAGGAAGATGGTATTCAAATGACAAAACAAATGAAACAAAAAGACAAATGGCGAAATAGAAACATCAGCGACATACAATGTACCAACATTGACAGATCGGCTGTATCGTACACAAGGAATAGATCCAAATTACAAATAGAATATAGTATATAAGGATTAAATAGAACTGTCAGGAACAGTGTTCTCGTCAACTAACATACATGTAGAATTGAATTAGTTTTCGTTAGTTATTCCGAATGGTAACTATTTAGTCCACTTTTAATATGTCAATTTATCTTATTGTAACATACCTGTACTGTAAATATCTCCCAAAAGGCTGCTACAATCCACAGATATACGTGAAACCTTGTCATGACGGGTCTTCGAACGGGCGTCTCTGCATAGGTATGAGTGTGCAGGTGGACATAAAACTAATTGATAAAGAACTTCCGGGTACGTTGTATTTATATCTGCGTATGTACATTTGTTCAAAATAGATTACTTGTATGACTGGAAATCACTGTAACTTGTTCATTTGGAAGTGTTTGCCCTGAATTATATGTTTACCTGCTACAAAATTGTATTCGAGGCCTAGTTTAATACAATTATCTTAGATACTTGATGTTCCTAATCACAAAAGTTCTACCAGTGTTTAGATAATTGTATCGTAAAAGTATGAAGTCTGAATAAACTGATGAATAAAATTATGATTATTCTATCACGAACTCATCTGAAATACAAAACTTTAAATCTGCGATTTTGTCAAATTAAACAATAAAACGTGAATGTTAATGCAAAATGGTATTTAACATGCCTCTGTACAAACGCTCTTTCTTTTATGGCCAGTTCAATGAAGATGGAATGTCTTAAGCGTTTATCTATATTCAGATCAAGAATGATCATCTTAACGTGTTTTCCTATTGTCAGATCATGGTTAAATTATCTTAACGTGTTTTCCTATAGTCAGATCATGGTTAAATTATCTTAACGTGTTTTCTTATTGTCAGATCAAGGTTGATTTTCTTAACGTGTTAAATTATTTTAACGTGTTTTCATATAGTCAGATCATGGTTAAATTATCTTAATGTAGTAATGTTATTTTGTCATTATTTTAATATATGTGCTATATGCATTTGTTATTGTTTTAATATTATCGTTATGCGTTCGCGTATCAGAACCGGAAGTCAGCCTTTCGTATTATTCGGTACGTGGCGCATTGCGACATGGATTTTACATTGACGCCCATGTAGGGACCCGAGAATAGTACTTAGCCATGTCCCACCAGCATCGCTGTAATCCCTGGAAACTCGAGGACGAGTTATTTCCTGAAGGGGGAATATGTAACCCTGGTATAATACTAGCCGCAATATACCACTCGACTAGAGAGAACTTCTCTTTAGCTCGAATGGTTGAGCGTCAGACTAGTCAGCCAGGGGTCCCGGGTTCGATTCCTGGCGGAGGCATTGCGATGAAAAATGACCTCTGTTACATTAACGTGTTTTCCTATAGTAAGATTAAGGCTAAATTATCTTAATTGTTTCCTATAGTCAGATCAAGGTTAAATTATCTTAACGTGTTTTCCTACAGTCAGATCAAGGTTGATTTTCTGAACGTGTTATCTTACAGTCAGATCATGGTTAAATTATCTTAACGTGTTTTCCTACAGTCATATCATGGATAAATTATCTTAACGTGTTTTCCTATAGTCAGATCAAGGATGATTGTCTTCACGTGTTTTCCAATAGTCAGATCAAGGTTAAATTATCTTAAAGTGTTTTCTTATAGTTATATTGAGGATCGTTATCTTAACGTGTTTTCGTATAGTCAGAATAAGCATTACGCACTCAGTAACTGTTGTTATATAACTAAATTTCCAAAAGTCAAAATTAATGTTAAAGAATACAAATATTTATGAAGCAATTTAAGTTCTTTTTATAATTCAACGTTTTACTGCATTTGCATTTTTTTAAAGAACCAAAATGAATTACATATTTGTTGTCAGCAAATTCGATTCATTTGAAAAATTCCCAGTTTATGTATGTGTTATTTAATGTTTCTGATAGGCTTTTGTACATTGTATCCATTTAAAACTAGCCAAAGTTCATGTTTAACCACAATAGTTTAAATGTGTATACATATGTAAAAGTTCGCTGTCTGGTAATTCCACAACTGTCTGGTAATTCTACATGGTAACCCATGATTAAAATAGGACTTTATTTTGATGGCCGTTCGAAATCACGTGGACATCATTCTAACGTGTTACATAAAATCGATACAAGTTATTATCACTATGGCTTATTGTAAGATATGTAGTATTGCCTACTTAAGCCACTCCTTCTATTGATAACCTTTGGATATCTTAATACGCTGGATTTCCACGACGGTAATTACTTCCTCGTTCTGATTAATATATCTACAATCTATGTCATGAACTTTTTAAGAAGTCTATTGTTTACCAAAATATTTATTCAATGGTGCCATGGATTCTGAGGACTATAACCTACGTCAGCTAAATCATGCGACTTACTTCCTGGATCGTAGATACTGTAAACAAAAACTAAATCTAATTAGATTTGAAAAAACTCCGGTCGTAAAATAGTATTGTTTTCTGCTCGTGAAAGGGGAGTATTGTACGTGTATATAAAAGAAAAATATATATCAAGGTCTAAGCTGTGATAGTTTACTCGGAAACAAGAAATAAAAATTAGATAAAGCTTTCGTGGAAGGGGTATATCTTTCATAAAACCTTCTAAAATATCGTAGTTGAATTAACAGCATTTGCATGTGGAGATGAAATATGTCATCGAGTTTAACAGTTTATTCTGCAATGAACACTTCCCGTAAGAAAAGACTGTAAATTACCACAGGTCGTAGGCATAGAGACATTTAAATAGCCCCTCACGTGAAAATTGCCTAAAGGCGCATAAATAGTAAGTATTTCAATTCAAGTGGTCTAGTATTTAAAACGCCAAGGACGGTTAAATTCCCAATGCCAAAATTTCTAACAGAGTGCTTAAAATGTCAACGACATCTACGCGAAAAAGTGGAGAGTAGTGAAAGGCAATAAACTGATTTCCACAAAAGTAATATTGCATTGGCGGTTTTAAACAAAGGAAAGTAGTAGCTAAACCCTTTTATTACATCTTTAGCAGTGAAATATAGGGATATATCAAACTGATAAAAGTGACAAATATAAAAAAGTGATATTTTTCACTGGTGAAAAAATATCACTTTGAGGATTGACCAATCAGAGAGCCCGATACAAAGCTTCTCCAATTCCAGGCAGTACTACTTTTTTCCCCTTTTAACAAATTTTATTGTGTATAAGTGACAACAATAAATAACAAAATCCATGTCCAAACACAAATAAACATTCATTATGATTTATTTATGAGTCAGTATATTTTTAATGATTTTTCATAAAATGGACTTTTTTTTGCCGCGCACAACATCGTTGTATAATGAGTGAGTAATGTCTGGAAAAAGCATGATCAACTTACCCATTTTATAGTTATTGTAAGGTTGCCATTGTTTTGGTTTATTTTTGCGAAGAAAATGTAATAAACCTATATTTATCACCCTTTGGTCCCTGTGACATTTTTGATGCTCTCTGGAGAAAAAGTAACTAGGTGATGCAAGAATGATGATCATATGGCACAGTATTTATTGAATAACTCTCGTATTCTCACATTTTGCTCATTCTCTGTCATATTTTTATTCATACTAGTTCTCTAGTCTCCTGACTTCGCTTTGATTTAAACATATTTCATTGGTATCAAATATACAGGTAGGATTGGGCACAAGTTTTCTTAAGCCCATTCCTATAAAGTGTGACAAAATACATTTTAACAAGAAAAGACGACATGTTTAAATACAATTATTATGCGAAGAAAGAGAGAGAGAGAGAGAGAGAGAGAGAGAGAGAGAGAGAGAGAGAGAGAGAGAGAGAGAGAGAGAGAGAATTTAATCAGTTTCTTGTAAATCGGTCTCTCCTACAATGAACAACACAAGCAAAAATACAAAACATTTAAGTGTTAAATGTCTTAAACATCGTAATTGGTACATCTATCTACTACTAACAATACTAGACTGAAAATTTTCCGTATAGTTTATCAAAATTTCATTGTGTTGTGAGTTAATCCTGTGATTCTTTAAGGCATACCCGACAAAACAAAATGTTTTAAAAATTGTATTTAGCACGTCAACAGGTCAACTGATAATATTCCAGAGATACCAGGAGTCTTTAGATCAAAATCAGTACATATATCAACTGCTTATAATCCTAGACGGGAATCCAGATACTTAAGTATGTTTGTTATAGCATTACGTAAGGAGAATATTGTGTTTATTAACAACTTTCTCAGAAACCAAAACTTAGAGACTAAAACACTTTGATACTGACTTGCTTTTGTACAATTTTAACTTCAGCTTAATTAAATGTTATCAGAGCTGTCATATCATGGTGAAAAATAAACATGTAAATTATATTTAATTTAATGTTTGTTTTCATTTCATTCTACCCCCTCTGAGTATTCTATTTTTTATTTTGACATTATACATGTGCAATATCTTAACTGCTTTCAATTACAAAACTTCTTCGTTCTATATGTAGAAATGACACGACAATTGTTTTCGAGAGAGATTTTATCTACTTCTTATTACCATTAACTACATACTGTATAATCTATTATAAGATT